CCAACGGTTGTCCCTGCACCTGGTTTGTGGCATTAGGACCACCAAATTTGTTTGAGGGGCTGCCTCAGCTGGGTTTCGGCTCCCCGCTTTTGGTCTAATACCCTTTTTCTGTATTTCATTCCGACCGGTTTTTTACTGGTTCCACATTTTCGAAGATTTTCCTCCATAAGTGCATGGAGTGCTCTTGAATTCTGACACCTCTTGGCTTCCCTTTAGGGTCGGTCCTTCCGACTCTGCCGAGGGGATGCCGCTCTAACTCCCGATTCCCTCGTCAGAGGGTCTCCGATGTCTTTGCGGCGTTACCCATTCCAATGCTGACACCTCTTGGTTTCCCTTTAGGGTGGTCCGTTTCCCCCGTTTTGCCGTTACTTCTCTCGAGTTTTCGCGCTGCCGAGGGGATGCCGCTTTGACTCCTGATTGCCTCGTTAAAGGGTCTGGGATGTCTTTGCGACATTGCCCCTTCCAATTCTGACACCTCTAGGCTTACCTTTAGGGTCAGTCCGCTATTTCCTTTTGTTACGCACTTCCCACAAGGGTAATATCGAGTGGATCATGTGCGGGCAGATATATAGAGTATATGGCCCGGTTGATATGATCCTCCCTGCTGGCTTCTGTTGTTACTAACATATGTTATGTGACAAGTCTTTATTACCGTCTTAGACCAGGTTTGCTCTCATTTTCATGAGGGCAGTCTTGGGCTAGCTGTCTGAGTCGTTAAAAGGGCCTATACCCACTCCCAGCATAGGATGGTTTAGGGGGAGCCTATGCTCATAGAGTGCTAGGTCTTCCCTTCGTTGCCCTCTGGCGCTAAAGCGAGAGCAGCCCGTTTCACAGACCTGTTCGCTAGTTTTCTAAGACGTTAAGGGCTGCACCCACCCTTAGTGCAAGGCGAGAACTTGGGGGAGTCTATACGCCTGCAGCGTTAGACTTTCCCCTTGTTGCCCTCTTCCACTGGGGTGAGGGCAACCCTTTTTCCACAGACCTGTCACGCAACCATGCTAATTACTAACTATTCCGCCACACTAAGTTCTACGGCTCTCCCGTGCCCTCCACATCCACACGAATGCAAGGGTCGAGCTCCAAGACTCACCCCAACAACCAAAGAGGCGGGTGGGCAAGATCGTCGAGGGGCAGGTAGGGGAGACCCCTAACCTGTCTCACGACGGTCTAAACCCAGCTCACGTTCCCTGTTGGTGGGTGAAYAATCCAACACTTGGTGAATTCTGCTTCACAATGATAGGAAGAGCCGACATCGAAGGATCAAAAAGCAACGTCGCTATGAACGTTTGGCTGCCACAAGCCAGTTATCCCCTTGGTAACTTTTCTGACACCTCTAGCTTCAAGTCCTGAAACGCTAAAGGATCGATAGGCCATGCTCTCACAGTTTGTATTCGTACTGGAAATCAAAATCAAATGAGCTTTTGCCCTTTTGCTCCACACGAGATTTCTGTTCTCGTTGAGCTCATCTTAGGACAACTGGGCTATGTTCTAACAGATGTGCCGCCCCAGCCAAACTCCCCAACTGACAATGTCTTTCGCTTAGATCGGACAGGCCACGAGGGCCTGCACCTTGGATCGAGAAGCAGGGGCAGAGCCCCGGCTCCACCTCACGAAATAAGTAAAATAACGTTAAAAGTAGTGGTATTTCACTTGCGCCGTAAGGCTCCCACTTATTTTACACCCTTCAAGTCATTTCACACAGTCGAACTAGAGTCAAGCTCAACAGGGTCTTTTTTCCCTGCCGATTCTTCCAAGCCCGTTCCCTTGGCTGTGGTTTCGCAGGATGGTAGATAGGGACAGTGGGAATCTCGTTAATCCATTCATGCGCGTCACTAGTAAGATGACGAGGCATTTGGCTACCTTAAGAGAGTCATAGTTACTCCCGCCGTTTACCCGCGCTTGGTTGAATCTCTTCACTTTGACATTCAGAGCACTGGGCARAAATCACATTGCGTCAACATCCATTGGGACCATCGCAATGCTTTGTTTTAATTAAACAGT